GTTTGGTCATTAAGGGGCTGAGGCATACTCTTTTCCCGTCATTCCTCACTCAAGTACATTCCTTGACTAATGACATGGCTTTGATCTGTAAATGGTCTATGATGGCTTCAACTCACTCCCGCTCAGCACCGACTGAGTTCCAATGGGATCATTAGGTAAGAACACACGATAGCTTCCCCGCTGGACCCGCTGCAACATTCTTGGCTACATGCTGCACCCTCTCCCCTGGCCCCCTTCGCACACCTTCAGTGGCCCACCCATGTTTCTGCTCCCATTGTGGCCACCATTTTGCCTGACTTTTTCATTACACAGACTGAAGCCTGGCCCCCTAGAGCATGGCAATAATGAAGTGTATCCCCATCATCTAATCATGCGTTCATGACCCCACTCACTGGCTATAGGAACTTGGGCAACTTCCATAACCTGTTTGTTAAAAGGTAAAAATGTGAGAATTAAATGAACAAATTTATGGTAACCCAATACATATTTCACCTTGTTTTTTCAATTTTGTTTTTTTTCTGGCAATCCGTGGAATTGAACCTGAGCACTGAACTCCATCCCCAGTCTTTTTTGTTTTGTTTTGTTTTGTTTTGTTTTTCTCCGGTACCGGGAACCGAACTCACGACCTTGTGCTTGCCCGGCAGGCGCTTTTGCCGCTGAGCTAAATCCCCAGCCCTCATCCGAAGTCTTTCTTTCTTTCTTTCTTTCTTTCTTTATTTATTTTTAAATTTTCAGGTAAGGTCTTACTAAGTCACTAATTTTTCTGGGCTGGGCTCAAGGTTTTGATCCTCCTGCTTTAGTTTCCCTGAGTTCTGGGATTACAGATGTGTGCCATTGCACCCAGCTTATATGTTTATCAAAATGGTCATTATTATTTTTGTCAACATTAAACATATTATCATTTATTCAATAATTCACTAAAGTCAATTTCATGCCACACACATATTACAAAGTATGTAAACAGCAGAGGAAACCTGTGTCTCAGCAGCTTAGTGCTGGGATAGTCTACCACATACCCATCTGCATGTCCCTCTACAGTCTGTTACCTATATAAAGTCTTCACAAGTATAGCATTTCTTTCAGACCCTAGACATTCCTTATACTCTATGGGTCATGACCTCTCTGTCAATGTGACCCCTTCCCCCAGACTAAAAAGCTCATACAAACATGGGGAGGAGACCATCCTGAAAGATAGGGTGGTATCCATTTTCTGGGCTGTCTATCTGTGTCAGTGTCTTGTGGCAGAGAAACCAGGACATTCAAGAGCAATGACAGGGCAGTCCCAGGACCAAGGATGCAGACCTAGAAGGCTGAGCATCCAGCCATGATCACAGCACCTCATCACCATTACTGGAACTACACCAAAACTCCATCATAAAACGTGACAGTCTTTAGCCAAGTTGACCTTGAGGGCTACTTGGTAAGGAGAAGCACTCAATTATGGCCACTATTTCTTAAGATATTAAAGATGGACTGTGTTATAATAATGAAACCAGACCAGGTTGACGAGCTGGGTGAGTGTAGGCAAGTTATTAGCCTCTCTGAACTTCTTTTTGGTCTTTAAAAGATGATGTTCCCTTTATGTTTCTAGAACTGAAAATCAGTCCAATCACAATTCCTGGGGACCATCTTTGCAGAAGGGCCAGGACAATACCCACTTCACCTCCACCAGTTCTAGAAGGGGTCACATGAAAAGACACATAGACAGCTTTATGGTTAGACCTACCACATGGCCACATAGCTTCTTCCCATCCCTGTACGCAAAGCCCTTTGCTGAGAGGTTCCAGCCACAGGTATCCCAGTTCTGCCACGACTGGAGTCACTGCCTTGGGCAGGGAAGGGTACTTTACTTGCTCTGCTGTGCCCCTCAGAGAAGACTCTGACAGGTTCCTCTTGCCTCCAAAGTATCACATAGTGTTAGGAGCCCCAGTTCTTATCCAACTACTTTTCTCTCCCTGGAGAGGGTGTAATAGCTTCATGCCACCTCAACACCAAACACTCGGCCCTCTTGCAGAACCTGCTAACTAGTCCTGTATTATTCTTCATATAATAAATTCCCATTGAGAGCCTGCCAGGATTCCCTGAGACCCGACTCCATGGGTCCCAGTGAAACCCAGTTAAGGGCTTCACTTTTATATTTGTTATTCATTGCTGGGAAACAAAACACCCTAAAATTTAGTCCCTAACACAACTATTTCATTTGCTCATGATACTGAGAGTCAGCTTAGCTGGGTGGTCATCTGATGGTTCAGTGAGGGCCTGATGATCCAAGATGTCTGCTGGCTGTTGTTGACCATTGACTGGGCCTTTATTTCTGTGTGCTCCCTCATCTTTCACAGGCTAATGTGGCAGCTTTTCAAGAGGTTAGGAGTCCTATGATCACTTGCACCCTAGGGTCAGGAGTCCCACAGTGATACTTCAGCATTCTAATTTGTCAAAGCAAGTCATATGAAGAGCCTAGGTCCACAAGAAATAAATCCACATTTCAAATCAATGTCACACAGGGATGGAGGACTATCATCTTTGCAAGCAGCCAATCATGCAGTTCCAAGGGAATTTTTTCCTTCTCCTGCCTCAGTTGGCTCCTTGTCCATGGGTGAAATCATGGATGCCAAAAAAGTAGAAAGGGGTGGAGGAGGGCAAGGACTTCAGAACCAAAATTGTCTGTATGTTCCTCTTCCCTCCTCACTTTTTGTCCTTGTGTTGCTTTCCTCCCCTTTTCTACAAGAGGGTGCTGTCTGGACCCTTCTTTCTCCTCCCAGTCTTTAAGACAATCATGTGTAACCCCAAATCAATAGCACCATGATTCTGAGAGCTTCCCAGGGGCCAAGGATCACTTGGACTGGGCCACAGATTAAAAATGCTCACAGTGGCCATGGTGATGGCAAAGAGGTGATGGATCTTGGAGATAGTGCCAAGAGGAAGACAGAGAGAAGCAATTGTGAGAAGTATTGAAGATGCCTTGTTTGGAAATAGTGTTGGAGAGAAAGGTAAAAGAAAGATGGAAAGAACCTAAGGTCAAGGCAGAATATGGGTTGTAGTCCTATGTGGGATGTTGGTGGTGAGTGCATCATTTAGGCAAATCTAGGAAACTGACATCTTTGCAATAATGAGTCTTCCAATTCATGAACATGGTATATCTCCTCATGTATTTACATCTTTCTTAATGTCTTCCAATCAAATTTAGTAATTTTCTTCTTCATAAAAAAGCAGAACAATTTTATGAAGCATTTCAGGCTTTAACATTTTCTCTAAACACTGCTTTGATTGCATCAAGCATATTTTATATTTATTTTCATTCTTATTCTTCAAAATATTTTATTACTTTGATTATGATTAATTACTTAATTCAAGGGATTTTTCATAAGTGCAATTTTAGGAACAGCATGTTAAAGTCTACTAAGAATGTGGATTTGGCTCTATCTCTTTGTATGCCATTCAGTTTTGTTTCTCTCTCTCTCTCTCTCTCTCTCTCTCTCTCTCTCTCTCTCTCTCTCTCTCT